AAGAAACTTAAAAATCACCCTCATCTGCACATCAAAAGGTGTGGTTAATTGTCATAGAGGAATAGTATATAGTGGGAATAGACTTCATGCAGAAACACAGATGTATCATTAGAAAAGTTTGAATAGTTTCACAATTTATGACTGGGAAATACTTGTAATTATGCCACCCTAGGTTGGACTTCAAGCCATGATAAGGGTAGAATCCCGAGATAACGAAGAAATTCAACCCAAAGTGCAGAAGAATTCAGAAAAACAGACGGTCCAAACCAAATGTCTTTCACTATGATTAACTCTAGAGGTCAGCTTGTGGGAGAATGATCAACTGGATAGCTTCACAGAAGGCTTCACCAAAAATGAGAGAAAATTACACACTCTTGAAACCATCACAATAAAACTGAAAAATCCTGCTGTTGTAAGGCATATTTTTAATGTTTTAATTTAGATATTAACTAGAAGGTGAATGATTTTAAGAACCCAATAACTTTGACTAATATCTAGATAACGGTACTTTGTTTATAAATACGAGCTATCAGTGAATAAGAAGATAGTTAAGAAAACATTGAGTAATGATTGAGACTTTAGAAGTATTCATTCCGTAAAAATTTCAGTAGTTGTTGATCGAATAAAGTTAATTAGTTTTGTTATGAATTGTAAATTTCTATTAAATGTTATTAGTATGTTAGCCCTACAGTAGTTTCAGAGTTTAAATTGAAAAGTTCATGAACTTAGCTCTGTAACTTGCATCAGAGTAAATGTAGCCTGTAGGAAACGTTATTGAAAAATAAAATAATTTGATATTGTTATGTGGACTGGACTTTGCAATTATTTTCATCAAGTAAGTTAAAAGAACGCACCCAGAGAAAGAACATGTTAATAGAATTGGCATCAAAAGTTTAAGTATTTTGTTGAAAATAAAGCAGAAGTTTGACTAAGTTTGAATTTCAAGTGCATAATGTAACATGGACAAGAAGCAAAATCGAAACCTTGTTAGAAATATGAAATAGTTAAAATAAGAAAACTAGAGAACAAGTTTGAAAATTAGAAGAATGAGATACAAATTAAAAGGAAAATTTTAAAAATTTGAGAGAAGATGAAGTAAAAACTATTATTTAACAGAGGAGTTAAAAAAAGAAAAATAATAGTTAAAGAAGAAATAAGAAAAAATTTGAATGTGATTGAAGACAAGATCCATTAAATTTTTGGGTATGTACAGAGGGATTACAGTAATAAGTTTGATAAAGTGCAAAAATACAATAAAAGTTATCATGACAAAATTGATGAAGTACAGAAAGACTGTAATGACAAAATCAAAGATACACAAAAAGAGATCATCGAGGTAGAAAAGAACATCAGTGATAGAATAAAACAGATGGAAACGAATTGGTAAATGCAAAGATAAACCAGCCCCACCTCTTGCAATGGTCCAATAATACTTACCTAAAACACCAACTACTACAACATGTGGAAAAGGAGAACTTATTTGATATAAAGCTATTACCACTACTGCTGTGCCATCTGTTACTGTAGGACCTTCCTTAGCTATTTCATCTATGTCATTACCAAATCTGTTCCAGAACTTAGCTGGCCAATTCAAAATCATCTGGTTGAGAAATAATTTATAGAGTGATTGTTTGTTTGTAATTAAGCACAAAGCTACACAATGGGGTATTTGTGCTCTGCCCACCACGGGTATCGAAACCCGGATTCTAGCATTGTAAGTCCGCATAAATACTTATAGAGTGAAATAGTGAACAATAACTTATTCATTTTGCTGCCCATTTAAAAGGACAAGCTTAGATAACATTAAGTAGTCTTTCAGCTGAGAGTCACAATAACTGGGAAGCTGTGGTGGTTGCCTTATACATCGATTTCAAAGTGGCACATCTGAAGGAAATATTTTAAACAGGGTCAAGAGGAAAGAAGAAACTTGTGGAAAATTTAGAAAGACTTTTCCAATTGTCTTACCTGGGTGCTTTGCATCAAATAATGGATTCGTTGGCACATAACCAATTTATAGATGCCATAACAGATGAGGATTAAATTTAAGTAAAATGGAAGTGTATCTTTAAAGTAAGCTTTCCAGTTGGCAATGGAACTTGAATCCATTAAAGTTGAATATAAACAACTAAAGACACCATCTGAAAATTACAGGATTGTCAGATCGATTCCTAAAGGATATCATAAGCGAACTGTTATAGATATGGGATACTTGGTCCTTAACGCTGAGACCATAAGGAATCAACAATTGCTAATATACCAAGGAGACAATTCTCTAAGGATACATCTTTGAGCCCAACCAGATTGAAGAAACGACAAAGGTAATGCCAGACATCAAGAAACAGAAATTACCTGGATTTGTGGGACAAAGTTCAACTAAGAATGACCCATCTGCCACAAATAAGATAAAAATTTCATTATTTAAATAAATAAGTTCACTGGTTTATTGATGTGAAGCCTTGTAGTATGTTGATCGACACTGGTTTGACAGTTACAATATTTTGATCCGATTTGTAATGAAATGAAAAATTGGAAATTACCTTCAGCAATTATGAAAGAAGATGGAATGGTGCAATTAGCAAGTGGAAATAAAGTTTCATCAACAAGGAAATTGGAAGTTATTTTTACTGTAGGAAACTTCTCCACACCTTATGATCATGGCATGTGAGTGATTGACATTGAGGAATAATATATATTAGAAACTGACTTCATGCAGAGACATGGATGTGAGGTTAGGCTAGCTTCAAATATCTTCACAGTATATGACCAGGAAATCAAGGCACACTACATGACAATTACTACACCAGATATTGAATTTACACTGAAAACAAGGTTGTGAGCCATTTACATTTAGTGACTTGGCCATAATACAACCAAAAGCCTCAGCATGTCTTGTTAGATTGATGGTTAAAAGAACTATTGCGAATTTGAACAATAAAGTTTTCTTCATCAGGGCCATGAACACAGTGAGATTACAGTCAAGTCTGGATAGGGCATTGCAAGACGTGAAGCTGTACAGATAGTACTTCCACATCAAACAACATCAGAAGTAGTCACATTTAGAGCAAGCTGTAGGAAGTCTGGTATTAAATCCTCACATAAAAAGACAGCTTACGACTTTCCTTACAAAAGCTGTATGACTAGAACTGTTAGGATATAAAAACTGATCAATGCCAAACTCATCAACGAATATGTATCAAGAATTGCATGCCTATGGATAAAGCTCAAATCAGGGATGGAACTTTGAATCAGCCTTGTTTGCTGAAATGTGTCAGATCACATGGAATCAAAAAGATCAAGCAGCTCTTTATCTATCTTCTGAAAGTTAGTGGAGGTATACACCTACACATTTTTTAATCATTTAGCCATGTGTGTTTAAACATCAGAAAACGTGGAATCCAAATCTTCCACTGTACTTTAAGTTATCAAACAACAGTACATGAAGCAACAGACAACACACCACCATCACTGATGTTTGGGAGGGAACTTAAAGTGCCGTTGGACATTTCACACTCGTATTTGTAAGATAATTAGTCAATAGAGTCTTACACAGAATATACAGAGGGACTAAGGAACGTCATTAAGATCATACATGACTTTACTCAGAAATTAAATCAGCTAGTCATGGAAATAAAATATACTATGATCTTGATACTGACAAGACTGGATTCCATTCGGTTGGCATAGTATGGGTGTATAATCCCCTCTGCATGAAAGCACAAACTCCAAAATTAAGCAGGTGTTAGAAAGGGTCATATGTTGCACTGGAAGTAATCAATAATATGATTTATAGAAACCAGAGGGACAAGCGATACAAGCCGAATGTAATCTACTGTGATCATCTTTGGAAGTACATCAGTGAGAGAGCAGTCAACTGAGTAACTTCGGAAAATAATTTGTCCCCAAAAATGAACTTGTTGAGTAGACCAGGGTTCCTGTCTAAATCACTTCCAGACAATCAACAAGGATAGAGCCAATAGTGGATTTGCTCAACCTGCCCAGAGAAAACACTCCAAATGATAGGACAGTAAATGACAAGAGACAAGAGTTATCGCATCTGTATTAGAATTGCTCAAGGAACTTTACAACCCAGGAGTGGGGCAGTGTATTAAGCTATATTTTTAGTGCTTTAACTTAGATGTTAGTTAGAGGATGAGTTATGTTAAGAATCTAGTAACTTGTACTAATACTTAAATGGGGATATATTGTTTATGAAAACATGTTATCAATGAAAGAAAAGTTAGTAAAGTAATTATCGAAAGTTATTAAGTAGTGATTGAGAATTCAGGTGATTATTCAACGAACGAAAGATCGAGTAGTTGTTGATTGAGTAAAAGTATCCAGTAAGTTAGTCAGGCTTATTATCAATCAGGTAAATTTATGTTAAACGTTATTAGTGTATTAGGCTTGCAACAATTTCATAGTTTATGTTGAAAAGTTTGTTTGTGAATTTAGTACTACAACTAGAGGTGTTGCTAAGTGCTGGCAAACGGGGCCCGTGCCTTAGTTCTATTTGACAGTGCTTCTGATCTCTAGTTGGTGTCTTGAAAAATCAGACTAGAAAAACCTGATCGATATCATATTGAAACGCCGAAAATTCCCGCGCCTATGGGCTTGAGCTCCGAATCTTTTAAGTAGCTAGCGATGATTCTAACAACAACTTGTGTCAATGTAAACGTAACTTTATCAAAGATTATTTAAGAAATTGAATAATTCGTTATTGCAACATGGACTGGGCTTCACAATTATTTTCACCAAATAACTAAATGAAACAGCCGCCCAAAGGAAGAACATGTTACAACACAACTATCACCAATCGGGAACAAGCGCTCCCACAATAATTGTGATTGATTTTATCTTATTAATATATAATTTCCCATGACTTTAGTGAGCTAAAAATTAAAACAATTTTGTGGTTAGTAAAAATTACAACTTTTGTTTTATGAGCATAAAAGACAAACAAAAAAAGTTGTGTTAATAAGAAATTTTCAAAAGGTGGTGCTAGAGTTGTGAGACGAATTTTTCGGAAAAACTTAAAAGTTAAAGAGTGTAGTGCTATTATTGAATACTACTACTAGTGTTTCGTGGTACTAACAATTATTTTAAATTTATGCTAAACGTTATTTGAGAATAAAATAACAAGTATTAAACAATTGTGAAAACGAGAGCAACAAGATGGTGCGTCTATCTTTGCTCCTCAGAACACTTGATGTTGCCAAGACTAAGAGGTCTAAGGTAAGTCAGATGAATTAAAAAAAAAACTACTATTTTGTAATTGCGCTTGCAATTTGAAGAAGTACTACTATTACTAATGGTAATACTATTCCTGCTAATAGTATGTCTGTAGTCAGAAGTAAAAGTGTCGGAGTTCAACTTTAAATTTAATTTCAAATATAAACTTCAAGAACCAAATTGTCTTTATAATAATTATATTTATAAAAATATAAGTTGCCTATATATTGCCTATAACAGTACAACCACAAGTATAGGAACAATAGACAATTCCAGTACTTTGCCATTTTGAATTTATTTCATCATGTATTCTTACTTTAGAATGTTTTAATGAGATTTACAAGTTAATATTTTCCTTTTTTTCAATTAGTTATTTATCAGCTAAGTCAGTAAGTATTAGATTTACCTTGGACTTTTTTGTTTCATTTTAAATCCATTAAACTTAGATTTTAGCCTTGAATTTGCAACTTAATGAGGTCAAAATCCATAAAATACTCATTACAGATTCCATCAGGCCCCCCCCCCCCAGAAGCACAGCTGTATGTCTGCAGACTTACAATGCTAGAATCTGGGTTTTGATACCCGTTGTGGGCAGAGCACAGATAGCCCATTGTGTAGCTTTGTGCTTAACTTAAAATAAACAATCAAACAATCAATCAGGCCAGGTTGTATACAATAAACACAGTAGTGGTCAGAACACCATTTATGTAAGCCTTTTGTTACAACAGTAACTGTTTATTGCAAAAATGATTTGAAATGCATTGTTGGCAATAAATGTGGTGAACACATTGTGGTTGAAATACTATTATATATTCTCATAATTCTTGGAAAACCCTAAGAAAATGAATAAAAATATAGCATTAAAAATATAATAGTCCTAATACTAATGTCTTATGACAAATCTAATTAATTATGACTGTGCTTCATCTCCTTAGAAAAGGCATTCACACCATAACAACTCTAGTATTTTGAGAAGCACTACCAGAAAAAGTACACAAGATCAACAGAAGAAGCTCTCTTTTGTTCACTTCTAATTTTCATTATATATTTTTGGGAAACTCTTTGTACACAATAACATAGTTGTTAAAATGTAACTGTTTGTATCTTTTCCTTAACTTTTTTTCTATGGACATCCTATGTTGATCCATGTGGTGTGGGTTTATCACACTTGAAACACCTTTTCATTTTATAGATGCAAGTAGTAATTGAAATAGGATTATCTTGTGTTTTTGTGGTGGTCTACATTTGTATTCCATGTTATAAAAAAAGGAAATAGCACAGAAAATAAGGAACACATAAGAAAAATAAACATCCAAGCTATGAAATAAGATAAACAAAAACATGATTTTTAAAAATAGAAGAACTGAACAAAATAAATGTTCAGAAGTTCTTAAACTTTAAAGAGCATCTGTAAAACCAGGAGTCGAAAGATCATAATGTTTGTAAGCAAGACTTTTGCGTGTGGAATTTTTAAATTACTTTCAAAAGGTATTTTGGTTGTTTGATTGACTGTGTATAAAGCATTTTTTAGTAAGATACAAGTGTATTTTTTGAAAGATTTATTTTTTATACTTCTGCTGTCAGTAAAGCTTTGTTATACAAAAAATAACAGTCTTTCTTAATTCCTTAGACCCGTCAGCATCCTGTCAAAAATCCTGATTTACCCATCAGATGGTAACAGCATCTGATAACATTTATGTCTCTTTGGCTGAAAACTAATCCAAGCCATGTTGTTATCCACAAAATTAAGAAAACTGAAATTTTATAAAACATGGTGATAATTATTAGGAAATTATGAAAATAATTCCAGCAGAATGTGTAAAAAATTACAGGTTTAAAGAGTTAGCATACATATATGTGAGCACTAGAAAAAACAACTAATTTTAAAGCTAGTGGCGATACCCTAGAAGCTTTAGTGTTAATACCTGTATACAAAATTGCCTTTTGCCAAAGTTTTCCTATACTGTTTTTGCACTTATTCTATATTTTTTTGCACGTACAGGAAGTTTTGACTGGTTACTAATGCTGCCATTTTGCATCTTTAAATTATGGTACACCTTATTTTAACGGGTTATTCTAATATTTTTTGACATTCCTAACCAAAATATTACTAATTCTTGAAGTTTGAATTTACAATACTTTCACTCAATAAAGTAAGAAAAAATGCAAGACTGTAGAAGGCTTTTTGACTCGTAGAAGTTTTTTCGGTTACAGGAAAACTTTCATCCAAGTAAATACTTTATACTACATCCAGTGTTGAATTGGTGCTGCTTAACAAGGGGAACTCCATAAACATAAGGGACAGTGGTAACTTTACAAACTTAGTGATAAAATGTGAGGTTCGATTCCCTACTGTGGACACAGCAGATAACCCAGTGTAGCTTTGCTCTTAAAAAAAACAAACTAATTAAAACTAAAATCATAAATATAATGAAGTATGCAATGTACTGGTACTCTCATTAAGATTTAACAATATTTTTCCATAAAATGTTAAAAATAAATTTAAAAGAAATTATTTCAATGGTTGATGAAAATAATATTTGTCACAGAGAGAATCAGCATGACTGTAGCTGTACACACATGCCTTCATGAGGGTAAGTCAGTCAGTGAAACCTAACTCTGGGCATGATTTTGTTGCCAAGTTAGCTTAACCTATTACTCTTAATATTCCAGTTTTTATTTCCAATCTTTTCAACCTACTATTGAAGCAGACTATCCATAGAAAGTCTGTATAAATAATTAACAATTTTGAACACCCCAATCCAGTCTCCTCAAATTCTTCTCTGCTTGTCAGAAAATAAGCTCTAAAACTTAAAGCCTTTTCTCACAAGTTAAATAACTTAACTCTTTTACTGCCATTTTTAAAGTTAATCATGAATTAATCTTATTTCATGCCTATTTCTCAGAACGTTAACTTAATATCACACTTTTCCAGGCTAAAATGAAAGTTACATAAGGTGGGACAAAAGTACCTCTAAGGTTTTATTTCGAACATACATTAATTTCTGACATCATAATTTGAAACAAATGATAATTAAATTGGTTTAATTTGTTTCTGTAATATTTTCTTTGTTGCCAACTATATCAACTTTATTAAACCAACTGTATATTAGTTTTGCCTTATCCTTATATAGTGTGTCCTATGTGTGCTTATGGCAGTGCTCAATAGGAAAACATGTATGTGCTTATGGCAGTAAAAGTTAAACATATCACTGTCATAGCTTGTTTCTGTTCTCTTTCTAACAAGCTGATATCATTTTAATAGAAATGTACACACACTATTCCGAGTGAGTTTCCACTGAAATTTGTGGAATGTTACATTAACTTTCATGTTCTTAACTTCAAAGTTCCTATGAGGAAAACCAAGAACTTAAGTTACTGTTTTATAAAGATTCTTTATGGTATTACACATACCTGTTTGGATACTGTTGGTGTTTCTTAAAGAAACTGTATGGTAGTACACATACATGATAGGATACTGTTGATGTTTATTAAACTGTATGGTAGTACACATACATGATAGGATACTGTTGATGTTTATTAAACTGTATGGTAGTACACATACATGATTGGATACTGTTGGTATTTCTTAAAGAAACTGTATGGTATTATACATACATGATGGGATACTGGTGATGTTTCTTAAAAAAACAAAGTTTACTATGTTTATTTATAGTGAAGAGAGCAATTGTATTGTGGCCCATGTGTACATTTCACTAAGTGAAAAATAGTATTTGAAAAAGCCATTATTGTCTAGATAGAAGGATTTTAATATTATTTTGTTATAAGTGTTTTAATACTTTTTTTTGTATGATCATGATGTGAAAGGTGTTGCTTTTTTCAGTAATAAAAATTATAATAATTACCACATTTAAGAGCTTTTAAAATTTTGTTAATTTGTTTGATATCCCATAGGTAGATAATAAAATAAGTTTCTTTCCATTAGTTTCAATACGATGAAAATAAATTTGCCTTATATTTGACAACTACATGTAAGACTGCTTGTAGGATAGTTTTAATTTGTACACTTGGTGAAGAGTTTAACAGCAAGTGTGTTATTTAAAAATTAAGGTCAGAAACTTCTTTTATTATTAAGTAAGCTTTAATTTGTTTCAAAAATTTTTGTTTAGTAATAAAAAATAGGATTTTCGTCGGAGTAGGATATGAAACTTTTTACTGATGTCAACAGTTTTATTTAATATGAAATATAGGGCAATGTAATATCATTTGAATTGTATAATGTTGCCCTTAGCAGGTTGCAATCTTCTTGATCAGGACATTTGTATTGTATAATGTTGTCCTTAGTGGGTTACAATCTTCTTGATCAGGACATTTGTATTGTATAATGTTGTCCTTAGTGGGTTACAATCTCCTTGATTAGGACATATGAATTGTATAATGTTCTCCTTAGCAGGTTGCAATCTTCTTGATCAGGACATTTGTATTGTATAATGTTGTCCTTAGTGGGTTACAATCTCCTTGATTAGGACATTTCAATTGTATAAGGTTCTCCTTAGCAGGTTGCAATCTCCTTGATTAGGAAAAGTATTGATTTCTTGGAAAACAATGATGTTTACTAATATGTAAGACATGTTTTATCTTTACCAAGTTATTGTTATTTTATGGTTCTCATTTAGGTAAGAAAAAATAGATTCATCGATAGTCTTAGAATTCATGTGAAAGCTGGTGCAGGAGGTATGGGATTACCAAAATTTGGTGGAATGGGAGGAAAAGGTGGTGATGTTTATATAGAAGCCAAAGAGAACATTGAACTTAAGTATATCAAGGACAAGTGGCCAAATAAACGTTTTAAAGCAGGAATTGGACAAAATAGCAGGTTTGTAAATGTGCATGCATTGATAATATTTATTGATTGGTTAACTAAGTCCTTGTCATATGTTCCACATACACATTTTTGGAGTTAAAGGAGGATGAAATTCTTAATCGGTTTATAAATTTTAACTTTGTGCAACATACCATGAAAGGTTTTTGAGAAAGTTGTTGAACTTATCAGTTTAAAACTTTTAATGCTTTAATCTCTTAGTTAGTTTTATTCTTTTAAAATATGATGTGGCAATTAGATGAATGTACTGTAGCTAATGGAGTTCTTGACTCTTCAGGTTAACCAACTTATAAAATCCTAAACTTGATTGGAATCCTAAAACCTAAACATGTAAGATTTGCAGAAAGTTGCTGGTGGTATTATGACAGGCATATTCTTATTTATTAATTAATTAATCAGTGCAATGCTCCTCCATCAATGATACATACAAGCCAAAACAAAACAACAAACAAAAATAGTAGGCAGCAGGTACTGCCAGAGAGTTTGCCTTCCTTCTAGTCAACAGCTAAACATTAGTGACAGTGGCAGATAGTCTCATAGCTTTGTCATAAAAAAAAGACAGAGTGAGTAAGTTTGGTAGCAATATTTAGATAACATAGATAGCTGGAATAATGTAAAACAAATATGATTGAAAACCCTTATTTCGATTAGTTGAACCATCAGTTTATTCATAATTTTGATTAATTGATTTGATCTTAATTTTGGATAATCAAATATTTTATGTGACACTGATCAATGTAATCACTAATCAGTTATATCAATTAATCAATTAAATTGGCCAGCTTTATTCTACAGTGAATAAAGTGGTGTGGGAAAGTGATTAGATGTAGTTGCTGCAGAGAAGAGGAAAAGGATTTAGTAGAATGTTTAGAAGAGTTTGGAAAAACCACAGGTCTGGAAATTTTTTATAGTTTCTTTAGATATTTTTTTTATTTCTGAAAACGTTTGTTTTAACTTTGGTGTTATAAATGTATCCTGTACATGTATGTAGAACAGAAAGTAATTTTAGTATTTAATAGTTTGCCTTTATGGAAAATTACCATAATATATTTGACTAAATGTTTAATGATTTAATATTTCTGTTTTTCATTAGAGTGTACAGAATACTTGGGGAACCTGGTGAGGACCTTACCATTCCCGCACCTGTTGGGTTGACTGTCATTAGTGAACACGGAAGAGTTCTAGGTAGAAATATGCAAGTCAGTTGAAATGTTGTTGTACATGTTTCAATAACATAAAATAATTTTATTAAATGGGTCTGACCTGGCATGGTCTGATGGTTAGAGCATTTGAATAGCAATCTGTGGATTGCAGGTTCGAATCCCATCACCAGCTTATCTTTTCAGTCATGGAGGTGATGCAGTGTGACAGTCAATCTCACTATTAGATTATAGTAGTCCAAGAGTTGGTGATGGGTGGTGTTTACTAGCTGCCTTCCCTGTAGTCTATCGCTTCTAAATTAGGGATGGCTAGTGCAGGTAGCCCTTGAGTAACTTTGTGTGAAATTTAAAAAAACAAACTAACTAACTAAGTATGTTTATATTGAAATAAAAAAAATTTTCCTTTTGAAGTTTCTCAGTTGATGCAGTGAATACTTATCAGAAGTTTTAATACAACTTGCACTTGTAAATTTAGAAATTCATTAATTTTTGTTTTGTGATCTACAAAGGGGAAGTTTTTGCAACTAAAATTATGGATTTTAGAAAGGTGTTGAGCTCATGAATAGTTTAGATGTGGTTTAAATTTTTAGATTGAGTGAAAAATTGTGGATTTTTTTTGGTATGCGTGTACATATTATTAGACAATGTAACCTCACAGCTGATATTTTAGTTTGTGATATGCTAAAAAAGTCCTCTTTACACATTGTATTTTATACAAATGTACATGCACGTCTTTCAGATGAGTTTTTTAAATTGATGTATTTATTTTTATGTTAAACATAGCTGACCTCAACAAAGATGGGGACCGTGTCCTTGTAGCAGCTGGTGGAGTTGGAGGAGGTCCACAAAATCAGTTTAGTGGGCAAAAGGGGCAGACTCAATCTTTGACTCTTGACCTTAAACTCATTGCTGATGTTGGACTAGTAGGGTAAGCCAGAGATGCCATATTGAAAATAATCAAACACTTATAATTTATTATTCTTTTTTTTGATTACTTATAATTTTAAAACTTTTCATAACTCGTTTATGACTGTATATTTATATTATTCCTACATATACGTTTTCCTCTAAAATTATATGTACGAGATTAGTTATGTTCCCAGGTTTGAATCTTGTCTAGTATGCAGGAAATACTTGTTTTGGGATCTACTGAGAATACAGACACTGCAAGTTAAGGCACATGCCATACTTGAAAAGTACTTGCATTTTGAAAAAGTATTAAGGCTTTTATCCATGTATTTAGCTTTCCAGGTCAAGGAATTATCAAAATTTTGACCAAGTAATTTTCCTAAAAATCATCATCACACACACACACATACATGTTTATTTGAACTAAAATCAAGGTTTTTTTTTTTAACTAAAAAGAAAAACCTGTCAATAAGGAACAAGAAATCAATTTTTGTTGTGTTTCGTGTTTGCAGCTGCAAACTATTATTCAAGGTATTTTAAGAACTTCCTTTGACTCCTCATCAATCCAAGGGATCTAAACAACCCTAGAAGGCACTGGGCTAAGCGAGGAATGACGAAATACTATCAAACATAGCTCAGATTTGTGAGCTGAAAGGCTAGAATGTCTTACATGTAACAGTAAACTTGTAGCAGAACGCTGAATTTGGAGCTGCTGAGTTAGGATCAATTCTGTGTGATATCACAAAATGTTCTCTGTACTTTATGCTGTGAATGCATTATAAGAGTGATAGATCTCTTAGCACAGATAGTGGAGTGCTGCTGACTGGCTTGCTGCCTTTCTTCTCATCGGTAATTCAAAATTATTGATGGCAGCTAATAGCCTTTGTAGCTTCACCACAGATACAAAGGCTATTAGCTGCCATCAATAATTTTATAAGAGTGATAGATCTCTTAGCACAGATAGTGGAGTGCTGCTGACTGGCTTGCTGCCTTTCTTCTCATCGGTAATTCAAAATTATTGATGGCAGCTAATAGCCTTTGTAGCTTCACCACAGATACAAATATCAAGTAGGTTATTGGACTTCAAATAGCCAAATTCTTCAATCGTGTTTAGGAAGAGTTGAAAAATAAATATTATAAACTGCGATATATTCATCACATTTTTATCTTCAAATTTGATATTGGCTAACTTCAGGCTAACTGTCACATAATAGGAACAAAATTTAAATAAATGCTAATGTGAATTCTCAGTAATACACCATCTGTTGTTACAACAGTGTGAGATGGAGTGTAATATACAACAATATAATAATGAAAACTGAAATCTTAATTAATTCATATTGAACATGCATGAAAAAGCCTGATTAAGTTACGTCATTTTTCATCGTTAATTTATGCACAGTATATCTTTAAAACAGAAGATTTGTTTCATTGTATTAGGATTTAAGAATGATCTTGATGATTTAAAAAACAATGTTTACCCCAAGTGACCAACCCTCAGTATTCGTTAATCTTGTGTATAGCAACTGATAAGGGGATTGACTGTTTTCAGCCAGTTATTGAACCTGTCTGATATTACTCAATCTGAATTTTCATTAACATTATGAAGAAATTTTTGTACTTGTGAGGATTATAGGTAGAGGGTGGGCATACCGGAAAATCTTGCCCATCAGACCTTTGTGACACCACTGGTTATAATACCATACTCATATAACGTTATAATACTGTGTTCATTGTATCTCTCAGAGAATATATATATATTTCCCATTGCTACTATTGTTGCTTCCGGGATAATTTTGTAACAATGAAGGGTATCATATTATTTCTCAAATTGCCAAGTGTTTAATACTTTTTTTATACCGTTCATTACCATCATATTGAGTAATATTATGGTTTTTGTCTTTTCAATAGTTATCGTAAAAAAACTGCCCCAAAACATTGGAAGAATCAGCCATTTTCTGTGTAAACTACATAGGAGACCTAACAGTAATTAGTGGGCAATCAATAACAAACCACAGAATTAAATTTTTAATCCTACAATTATAAGGTTTTTAAAAGACATTTTTAACTACTTGTGCTTCAAGTTGCTTGTAGCCCCATGACTTTGTGAGTTACTTGGTATCTAATAACATATGGAAATATACCATCGATACTGCGATTAATTGTTATTCCTTCCTCTGTTAGATTTCCTAATGCTGGGAAGTCGACTTTATTGAAGGCATTATCACGAGCTTCTCCAAAAATAGCAAATTATCCATGTAAGTTTTAGTACTTAAGTAAAGTGGTTTATACATTCTTAAAGAAAATTTCTTTTCAAATAAATCTAAAAACAAAACAATATGATATCTATAACAGAAATAGCCCTCATGTAGTCTTTGCACAAAAAAACAATATGATATATATATATATATATATATCACAGATAGCCCTCGTGTATTCTTGCAAAAATTCAACAAGCAAACAATATTTACTTGCATTGTGAAGTTATAGGTGGGGAACTGTTCTACTTTGGATCATGTGCTTATATTTATTTTTATTATAATGTTGAATAATGAAAATGAAAAAGGTAATAATACCATATGTAATTAATTGTTCAAAAGAAGATAGTTAAAATTTAGATCTTGAACAGAGAACTATTTTTTAATTTTTTTTATAGGAAACAAATGATTCTGTTTTCTATTAACTTACATACTGAATGATTGCTTTCTATAAGTTTGTTTATAGTTTGATGAGTTAGCTTGTAATTAATTTTTTTTTCTAAATAAGAAAATGTGTAGAAATACATTTGTTTTCACATGTTTTGTTCACTTTAACTCAAAGTGCCAAAAAAAGTATTTATATTTAATAAGTTTTAAGTAATTGGCACATTTACTTATTGTAAGTTGTTGCAAGTGTTTGTATTTATGTTTCAGAAAGTTTTTGTAATTCCCATTTAAGTGTGTGTAAAGAAGAATGACCAGCAGAGATTATTCAAATTCCTATAGCATACTGAATAAACTGTTGATTCAAATCAAGCAGACTTGCCTCTGAAATACTGAAAACCTTACCTTGTTGAGTTTGAACTCATACTGTGAACAAGACGTGACTCAAAATATCTTAATGTCGTTTACATATTTACATACCATATATGTGATTTACCAATAATACTTCACTCTCCCAGCTTCCGCATGACTTACTGTGCATGCATCAGTGGATCTTACATAAGCTCTGCTTCCTGCCATCAGTTGATTTATTTTGTTGACAGCCATGCTGTTATGATGTTCTGGGCCTTCTTTAGAGGACTTACTTATGCAATTTGCCTGTAACGTGCAAGTTGACATCACTGATGAATTCTTAGAATGAATATTTCTACATATTCCTGCCATTGTTTACTGATATTACTTCCAGGTATCCTTTATAGTTCCAGTTTTTACTTACTGTTTGTCATTGTTTAATAATGGTTGTTTTTGACTCGGGCCTTGTAATCTTCTATCTCTTTTTAGGATTGAGCATATTTCAGTTACTCTTGAGGGTGCTTGTATTACGTGGTATGATTCCTGTACTTTAATTTTTATGAATTTATGAAATTAGCTTCATGTTCCCCTTCCTTATTTTACTATAACCCATTGTTAGTTTTCTGCCCAGCATGCTATGAATTGGCTTTCACTGAAATATTTTATTTCTGCAATGTTATTGTTCATTCTCATTATTTTAACTCAGGATCACAATATCTACTTTGATGTACCTTTGGGTCTCACTTCTATTGTTTCTATTACTACATGGCTTTATTGTTCCTTTAACACCTTTGCCTGTCAATCAGTGTTGCAAGGTGCTCATCAGATGATCTTCAAGTATATATATATATATAATCTTTAAAAAAACTAGTCTTAATTTTGGTCCTTGTAGGTCTTTTACTTTCATCAGTGTTGCAAGATACTCATCAGATGATCTTCAAGTATATATATATATACTTTAAAAAAACTGCTTAATTTTTGGCCTTGCAGGTCTTTACGTTCATTTGTTTCCTGTTCAGGGGAATCCTACCAGCAGGAATTTATTAGGGTTTTAACATCTGGTTTTTCTTTTGGTCATCATTCAGTTCTACAGTCACATGTGTTAAGTGTAATTTTTTTTTATGCTCATTATATCTACTCATACTTCCAGTTTAGTGTTCCCTTGTGGGTCACAATAAGTTTACAAGCTTCCAATACTGAAACTTAGGCTTAGTTACCCATGACGGATGGAATGCAAATAGCGTATTCTCTAGCTTTGTGCTCAACACATAATAGGGTAGTCTTGAAGTAATTTAGGTGGATCTTCATTTTTCACTCATTGACTCTGTTCAGGATGACCCCCCCCTCTCCATGTACTTTTGTGGGGATAATGTGGATTCTGTTCTCTATGGACCATTTGCTTTGTGCACCTTGGGTTCATCAGGTTCTTTACTTTGATTTTCTATTCCTTGTCCAAGATTTTTCTCTTGTAGTTTCTATTTAGTTTTGGATCTGGTAGTTTCAGAGAATTTTCAATTCTTTACTAAAGGGATATCAAAGTTGTACTTTATGTTACATCAGGGTTTTTTACTCTCTTCTCATTGTGGTGCCAAGACAACGGGATATTGAAGACTGGTCATAGATATTTCCAGTCACGTTTGTTATCTAGATGTTCCTCATTTTTAAGTGGAACCTATGTGAATATCATGACAGTTCCTTTTGTCTAAGATTTTGAATGACAAAGTTTCACGTAACTCATATACACAAAATGATTCACCCATCTTCATTTTTCACATAATGGAGTGATTTCTTTGTTTATAACTCTATCTTTTGGTCTAGATTAAGCACTCAATGTATCCACCTGCATAGTCACACCTTTAATTGTTCTCCTGCACTCACTCAGTATTGTTGTCAGCCAGACATGGATGATTAGAGCATTTTTTCTCAGTGGCTGTCCCACATTGAACTGTTCTAGGTAATACTGTTCACAATTCAGATCTCAGCTTGTGCTTACTAATATCTTGTTCATCTGAGATTTTGTATTAACACCCTCTCTTTATTTCTTCATCTGTCTCATGGAGCTTTATGATCCGACAAGTTTTGGAGTGCATAGTTCTCCCTCTATCAAAAATATCGTTTCTTTGGTAATGATGACTTTTCTTTCAATGATGGATACCCCTTTCTCACATGGCCTGGCATGGCCAGGTGGTTGGGGAGCTCCCCTCGCAATCTGAGGGCCTTGGGTTTGAATCCCCATCCCACCAAACATGCTAGCCCTTTCAGCCATGGGGGGGTGCTATAATGTGACGGTCAATCCCACTATTCATTTGTAAAAGAGTAGCCCAAGAGTTGGTGGTGGGTGGTGATGAATAGCTGCTTTCCCTCTAGTTTTACACTGCTAAATTAGGGACTGCTAGTACAAATAGCCCTCGTGTAGCTTTGCACGAAATTCATAACAAACCAAACCCTTTCTCACATTCTTATGTAGAGAAATTTGGGTTGTTCCAACTGCTCTTTTTATCCTTTTGTTGTGTTATTGTACTCAGACACTTTGATTGTGGTAACATATATTAGCAAGCTAGATGAGGCTATCAAAGTCATGTGTTCTTTGGTTTCTATGTTTTTTTTTCTGTAGCTACGTTCTGTTAACATCATGTTTTTCTCCAAGCTAGTATTTTGTGGGTTGTACCAACAGTTTGATTGTCCTCTGCTTGATGTTTTTATGACCATTGTGCATCTTCTTCTGATGCTTTACTGATTTCCAGGTACAACTCCTGTAGTGGTTGATGGTTTTGAGCTCATTGGGAACATATTATAATAAAGAATGCCTTCTTCATCTTCTTTTTTTGGGTATTGACCAAGAACAGTTAGTCCTATTGTTCAATTCTTCTTTCCAGGGTTGGCCTGTTTTACCATAATTTCCACTCTTTGGAGGAGTCCCATTCCATTACTTTTTCTACATTTTCCACAATGATGTTTGTCACCTCTGTGTTTGCTGTCTATTGTTAGTGAAGTTTGCTTCTCCATTTGGTAGATAGATTATTTTCAGAATCTTGCAGACATTATTCTTTAATGGTATACCAGTAGAGTTGGTCTCTCTTTTGGATTTGGTGCCGGTGGTTTCATCTTTCTAAAACTCGTTCACAGCTGGCCTTGTTTGTTTTTCATGTATCTCATTCATGGTAAGAGCTTGTCTGCCCTTCTTGCAAGTTACAAAACTGCACTCTTGGCCACTTTCTGTTGCCACAAAAGTTGCGTGCCTCTGTTGTTACTATTATATTTCCAGTTATTTTTGAGACATGGTCCTCAGTTGGAGTTAAGTCTGGTATTTAGTTGCCTGACTTCACCTTTTGTACCTTTGCAACTTGTTCATTCAATTAATTTTTCCCTGAAGACATGCTTTCTTTTTTTTACTAGTTTCAGGGTGAAGATGTTCAGACATTTTTGTCATTGATGCTTCTCTTATACTTTTTGTTTCTAGGAAGAATCTGTAGTGATATCCAGATTCAACCTTCCTACTTAAGACTTAGGCTGCAAGAGATGGTCACTACCGTTTTTTTTCTGTGTGTTCCTACTTTTGCAAGAATGGAATATTTTCTTGGGAATCATAATTGGTTGTTTATATTTTATGTTGATTCTTGTTCCATGGATCTTGCTCCATCCACCTAAATGAATTAGTTTGTGCAACTAATCCATCTTGTTTTGCTCCTGTTAACTCAGTGGTACTTAAACCTATAATAATAGAGTTTCAATAACTGTAGTGGGTAAAGTGCAGATGGATCATTATGTAGCTTTGTGCTTAACAACAAACTGTCTTGTTTCTTATGATGTTCCCAATCACATAAAGTGTGAATTTCAGGCTACATCTCACAATATTTGCCATTTGTCAATGCTTTTGGCCCCCTGGAAACTATTTGGAAACATTACACAAGTGGGCAGGGGCTGCTGCATAACTTTTTGATATTTTTGCTTCATCAGGTCAGTATATATTTGGTTTTGGAATTCTATTTATCCCCTGGGGCTATTTATCAGGCTTAGTGGAATCTGGTTTTGTATTTTATGCTCAACACTCATGTTGAATCATTTCCAGGGTGTCTGGAATTGTGAATAAATAATTTTGACTTCCAAACAAACAGTATAAAGCAATAAAGATACAATAATAAAATACAATATCTTATGTATTGATAATCTGTACTTGTATCGATATGTCCAGTTAAGG